GCGCTATAACGGTATTTTGTTTGGGTAGACCCCACCTAATCTTGGATGTAACTTTGTTTCCATCTGTTTCAGCATTGATATATTGATAACTAATTAAAAATTATATTATATTTGTTGAACCTCAGATAAACATTCTACATCGCCAATTTTTTTATTTATATTATATCTTTTTTTATATATATATTATATTGTAACATTTTAAGATAATTTTTCACTTATTTTTTTTGACACTCTTGGCAAAAAGTTGTCATAAAATTTTTTTTTCAAAAAAAAAAAACAATAAAAAATCTTAAAATAATAGTTAATGTTGTCACTAAATTAGAGTTTATTTAATATTATATGAAAGCTAGAAATTATCTAATCTCTAAGAAATAGAATATCTAAATTGGAGTCCAGGAGACCCCACCTTGGTGTTGTTAAACGGCCCAATTTTGGTCGATTTCTAAAAACGGCTCGATTAAGATTTTCGCCAAAAATAATTTTAACTTAGCCACGAGATTTGATAAATAGAGGTCCGAAACCTTAATGCCATCAAGCTTACGTGATATTATTTTGGCTAATATATTTAAATCGGGCCCCGTTTATAAAAATCGACCCAATTCGCCTGTGGTATGAAGGGTTAATCACGCGAGAACCCTGTAAACGTTAATCTGTTGATTGATTTTATCGCATAATAAACTATTAAGGAGATATATTAAGCTAGTTCCGAATTCTTCGATTCTCTCTAGGGAATTCGGAGGATTTTAAAAAATTCTAAACAATTATGCACCAGTGAGTGCTATGCTTTGACGGTATGTTTTTTTTAAAAATATATTCCTTCTTTCTATACTATTCTCGCAGACTGCATAGAGCTACCAACATCTGGGTCATCATGTAGGGGAACAATATATCAGCGAAAATACGTGATTCACGTTTCAAATTCCTCCGTGGAAATGCAATTTCTAATGCGGTAAATGAATGAATGAAGTTATAAATATAAGTTATATCCTTGTTACAACAAAATAGCAAAGAATAATTATTTGAAATAATTTTTAAAAAATTGTTTTATTAACTAATTATCATAATAAATCTTGAAAAAATAAATTTTGTATAATTGTCAGTTGGAGACAAATATATTTATTTTTATTTTTAAAAGAATTTCAGATTTAGAGCGCCAGAGCTACCGGCAAATTAAAAAGTATGGTAACGCCCCTGATTCAACCGAACCCGCTTGGGCCAAACGATTATATCGATCAATCAGTCGGAAAATCGCAAAAAGAATAGTTTACCATTCATTCATTTAATGTTATTATTTTTTTTCCACTTTCGCTTAGAAAACAATTTTTAGAATAGCTGATTTTTTTTAAATTTAAGCCGAGTTTTAAAAATAAAGATATCTGATTGAGAGGGTCGGGTTGAAAAGCAATCGTTTCGACATGGAATTGTCTGGGATATTGTAAAGTGTGGGAAAGGAGTGATTTCTATTTTCCTCATTTGTTTGAAAAAAAAAAGAAGAATGAGAATCACGCCCATATCGTGAGGCCTGGCAATCCCGAATTTCGAAGTTAAACTGCGAACCTTTACTAGGGGGTCAGTGATATTATTATCAAAGGGTTTTGTATGAGTATACAGCCATTTTAATATTTTTAAAATTATATTCATGATTTATATAACTATTGTAGTTGTAAAGTCGATACATTTAATATTTTGGTAGTAAGTTAGAACTTGATAGCACTAATCAATAACCGCTTTCAACTTGGTACTACTCGTAATATTAGCAATACAGATAGGTTGGCGTTTATGCTGAAAAGCTTTCCCGGAGTTTTAAAAAAATCGGATTAATAATTATATAATGTTTGAAGAAAAAAAAATTGTTAAACATTATCTTCAACTTTCAATATGAACCGGATCTCCTGGAGGAAATATTTAACTATTATCTCAAGATTTATATAAATTTTTTGAAATTTACATTTACTATTTGTGAGTGAAATCCATAAGTAAATAATAAGCTCGGATCGCAAATTATCTAACTTAGAAAATATGTGACATACCGCCGCGAATTACGGGCTAAGTATGAATGAGTGATGATATGACAGAAATTTGCATAGCCAGGTTTGGGGCCATCTGGCAAAATATTTCCCGAGGGGGGCTGAGATATTATTTGAATGAAAAAAGGATCGATCCTTCGTCATATCTCAACACTCGCCAAAAAAAAATTTGTGTTCTATAAGCTATAGCGTCTCAGTAAAAGGGTCTTCTATGCCTCTAAGTTAACATGTTTTCAATATGATTGTCCTTATATATATCCGAATAATCAAACAACGACTAAATTTTATTAAAATTCAATAAAGCACACATTTAATGTTGCTCGCCAAATAATGGGCTCCTTTCCGATTCGCTATATATCATGTGCAGTAGCACAAAAATAAGTAGTTGCCTTAGAAAAGAAAAACCTATCATTCCTGGATTAGAACTCAGAACAAACTGAAGTTTAAGATGACTACTCAATCAAGGTTTCTAATAGTTGAACCAAAGACGCATGAAAAACAATAAATTACACCACGTATGTCATGCAAAACGCTAAAGTGGAGCGTTTTTCATCACTACACCTACTGTGGGCAGGGTTTCTATAAAAAAATTTGTAGGAAAATATAGTGGCTACGCATTATCATTACTCAATAACTTTAAAATTACAATGAATTTCATAATTAGTTTTTGCGTTTCAATATAGATCTAAATATATGCAGGTGTTATAAATGCAAATCCTATTTTTAATGGATAATTTTATAAGTGTTTCTTAACAAAAATTCTATAAGAAAATTATGGAAAAAAAAATTTATCACTTGTTTGTCAGTTCGCCGATTCACGATAATGAATTCGACAAAAGGGAGTACACTGCCGCCAGTCATTCTGATTTTTATACACAGAGCCGGAAGTAAATAAGGGAGAATTAAATTCGGGAATAATCAAAACTTTAAATGCGGTCAACAAGATAGACTCGAGAAAGGAAGGAAGGAAAAAAAAGAATAAAGTGTGAGGCAGCCATTTAATTTCAGAAAAAATTGATACGCCAGGCAATAAATCGTTTTTAAAATAAGAAACGACACCAGCCACAAATCTATCAGCGCATGGGCCTAAGCTTACAAATTGCAGAAAATTATTTGATAGAACCAGGCAAATTGCAAGTCAATCAAAAATTTCCATGAATTCGGGTGTACCGGATTCTAGTTTAAACTAGCATAGTATGGTAGCTGGGTGGGATAGAATATCGTCCAATAATTTTAAATAAATCACGTGATTGTTTTCTTTCAATAACCAATGATATAAACTAGAGGCCCGTGGAAATTTTCTATCAGGTTTTCCCTTGCTCATACCAAGTGGGTAATATATATTTTGTAAACGACATAAATTTGCCGCCTAATTATTAACTTTTAAAAATTTTGACCTGGCCTCTAAAGTTATTTTGAGCAATTTGCCTGGGATAGCCCAAAAATCTTTTTTTCCCTACCATATAATATGTACAATAAATATTATAATAAAGTCTAAAACTTCTGTAATTAAGTGAAAAATATTATGATAAAATTTTTTATGCTAAAAAATCAAAATAATAAAATTTCAAGGATATTTAAATTTTTTAATAAAAACGGTTAATTATAATTCAGACGAGATATAATTAAGTTCTGAAACTCAGCATAAATAATAAAAATATAATTTGAAATTTCAAGGATAATAAAAAAAAAAATTTTATTTTATTTTCTATTTATTTATTATTAAATTAGCTTTTGACAAAAAATATAATAATATAATTTCATGTTTTAAGTCCATAATATAATTAATAGTTATAAAAAAAAAATTTTAAATAAGAAAAAACCTTCAAGGAATATTAAATTTAAAATAACATAGAATACCTTTTTTTAAAAAAAATATATATATAAACAACATGCCAAATACCCAGATAAATAAATCTTAAAAACTTAAAATTTACTATTCATCTCATAATCGCAATAACTTTACTTGTATAGAAAATCGTATAGAAATTCCTAAACAATCAATATTAACTCATAGGGTGCATAAATCAAATGGGTAATCAAAATCTGGGAGGGGGTGGGTACATTTTTGTTAAACAGCCAGTATTTACTTTATATTTGATTTTTTTACATTTAAATCATCAGCATCAATGAATTTGAGGGTGTATCAGCCTTGTAGTTATGGAAGAGGGGAGCTGCCTACTCCCAAAAAAATTTCTGCCTTCCAAACTGACTTCATATTTGTTTGTAAACATGTATAAATTACAAAATAAAATAATTCCCACAAATAAACCTTGCCCCATCCCCTTCAATTGAAGCTTTCTGGTTAGCTTGTGGGGAGTCATTTTTACAAATTATACATTAAATAAAATTTATAAAGAGTAGTTAAAAAACGATTTAAACATTTATTGTTCAGCTCAGAGACATGCTGAGACTTTTGGCAGCTTAAGATAATTATATTGGTAACACTTAAAAATAAAACAATCTATCTAAGCTTTAAATAACAAACTAAGCCATCATTTATAATATGTGATTCTCAAAAGAGTAGCTTAGAATATGAATTAGTTAATCTTTGTGCAATGTATTATAGTGAAATATAAATATTTGCAAAAGGATTAAATTTATAACATAATTTATTAATATTTATACATTTTTTTAAATTACAATTCATTTTTCAATGCATAAGAAGCAAAAATTGGCAACCCTTAATTGTCTAATTTTGGTGGCCAAGAGCCAATGCTCCTTCCTCCAATTTGCATATGTCTGTTTAACTATTGGCTTTTGCAATCGTTTATAGAATAATTATATTATATTTCTTTAATAAATATAATTAAAAATTAAATTGGGCATATGTCAATGCAAAAATTAGATTCCTCAAAACTCATGAAAAAATATTATAGTTATATATATAAAATATCCAAAGTTTAACAAATAATATAAATTATTTATAATAAATAACAAATTGGGTTTGGTGTATAATTTATAAAAACTTACCCATATAATATTGAAAGAATATGAAGGCTCCATACAAACCACCAACCGGCAAATATGAGTAAAGCTAATCCAGTATAAAAATATTCAGAACAGGAGTAAGGATACATTTCTATAATATAATATTTATAAGCTATGATTAACGCATTCAAATCATGTCTACAAACGTAAAATTAAAAATTTTGAAATTTTTTTTTATTTCATTTGAATAGATGCTATTTAGTTAAAAGAAGTTAACAAATTTCCAAAAAAATTTAAAAGAAAATAATACATCAAACAAATCAAAATAGGGGATAAAATTAAAGGAAAATAAAGATAAAATATGGGTATTCTAGAGAGGAATAAATATCACTGTAACCGATTGTTAAGATGTACATTTATATAATAACCGATGATGCCAGCGGATGTTCGGAAGATGCCCAAGGGATATCAATTTCATGGAGTATTAATCATTAAGTTTTTCTATTGCCCACATCGTATTTAAGGACATATCAAATACTTAACAAATTTGTCGGTAAAATATTATGCTATATTCTGAAATAGATAAAGAAAATATTATACATTTATATATTAATGTGAATCAGATCATCAATGATTAATTTATTTCTCCAAAATGGCCCTTTTTTACATATAGATATTTTTATAGCCATTTTCTTTGTATAATAAATGCCTATATTTATCAATATAACAAAATAATTATTGATAATAATTTATAAAAATGACTTTTTTATTATAGTTTAGTATAAAAAGTAGGAAAATTAACTTTTAATCATTTAGTGTAAGCGCAATAGAGGGCTAAATTATCATTGATATTTACAAAAATATTTAATTTTATGGAAATTAAAGAAAATGCTTGTATTAAACAGAGAACATGCTCATAAAAATTTATCTAAAATTTAACAATCAACGATTTTAATTTTATTTTTTAGAAATAATATTATAAAAATAAATGGGTAATAGTCTATCTAATGATATCAATTCAAAACAGTAAGGTTATTTTCTAAATTAATGCTGAAACGGTAAAATATGAATCATTTTTATTTAACAAAGAACAAAAAGATCAAGACTATGACATCTCTCTCCGCCCTATATTTAATATTTCTCTGGGGGTTCAAAATCGATATCAGGTTGGACGAAGAAATTGCAGCTGTCAAGGCTTCCTTCAGAGTGACTTTGAGGCATTTTATTGTTGATTCCTTGTTATAATTTAATTAAATTTTGTTAAATCTGTCAGAATTCAGCAAAAATTATGGAAATTGTGTATTAAGCTACAGAATATTTTCCTAAAAATTAAAAATCGCCAGAAAAGTTAATATCTGGCTAATAGCGAAAGCCTTAAAACACTTAAAATGTATTTAACTAAAATAATCAAATGTTTAAATATAGCTTATGTAAAAATATAATTTGTCACATACAATATCATAATATTAATAATTGTCATTTTTATTTTCAATATTTCCAATACCCCTATTGAAATTATTTCTATGTATACCATATCCAGAGTCTACATGAGCGTGGGAAGGGGGGGGGAGGGTAGGAACAGTTTGCATCCTAATATCTATAAAGGGGTAGGGGGTATATGGTAGGGGGTGGCATTTTGGGGGGTAGGCTATAATAATCTAGAAAATTTTCCATTACATTTTTAAATTATCTATGGATAACATTCAATGAGTGATTTCGAATAATAATTAAAATCAATAATAATTCTTCCTGAAAATATTAATAAAACGTTCATAAATGTCAATTACAAATCAATAGATACAACACGCCCCCCCCTCCTTTCTTGAAAAATCAAACTCAATTTACACATATATATAATCCAAGTAAATTTCTAAATAAATTCAAATACAAAAATTATTATTTACTTTATTTTTAATTTTCTTTTTCTGTTCCAGGAAGTTCAATATTTTTTTCCTTGACCATATATAGTAGTCATTGTACTAATGATTGTCAATAAATCTTAATAGCTGGTGGGTCATTTGATCCATAGCATCATTGGTCAGTCATAATCATTCTAACTTAAGCTTATTGTCATTAATCCAGCATCATTGTAGTTGATTGGCATTTACCTTATGTAAGTCAGTCAAGTGTGTTTTTTTTAAATTATATCATAAGGTATTTTTTTCCTCTTTTAACAATATCGCAGAAACATGCGTGCCTTGTCAATTATAATTTTAAATTTCAGACATTAATCACAAAATTTCTAATCCCAATATTAACATTAGACTTTTTATTATATATACCAAAATTCCAAAAATAAACAATATTCTAATATTATCTACTAGCTTCCTCCAATATTACACTTATATATATATAAATCAGTGATGAAGCGTCAAGTTTATTACTAGGGAAGCAATCGAAAATCTTCTTTTTTTTATTTATTAGTCAAACTATAAAAAAATTTAAATATATAAATACGTAGAATTTGTCTTTGTTTTTGAGTAAAATCATCAAGTACTGAATTATAAAAGTTATAGCTAGATTTTTAAATTTTTGAATATGTTTTTAAAAATAGATTTATATTTAAAAAAAAATAAAAATTACGTTAAATTTTATAATTTATTCATTAAAAGTTAGCTGAATATCTATAAAATTATTTTACAAAATTCAAAATAAATTTATTTGGTTAAAATAATTTTGTGCATCAATGGTATTGCTTATTATTAAAGAGCATCATGAGCAAGGATTTATAAATTCCTTTGTATGATAAAAATATACTTCACAATCTAGAACTGATATCTAAGATATAAACGGAGAAAAAATTAATATTTATATCTTTTTATATATATACTAGTAGATAGCCCGTCAAAAATGACGGGGAATGAAAATTTTCTTCTTACTTTTATGCTATTTGAAAATAATATCCAATTTTTATTCTTTTTACCCCCTCCCCCCTTCAGGCCAGGTTCAATCCATAAAACTAAGTGTAAATGCTATGGCTTGAGTAAAAATAAATTTAAGCATTTGATAATACCAATATTATTTGTTAAATATTACTGATTAATTATACCTAATATTTAATATTAATAAAAATACCCAGGCAAAGTCCAAAGCCATATTAATTATAAAAAATTCTTCCAAGCCCAATGAAAGATCATAATAATTGTGGTAGTTGAGAACTGAAATAAAATATTTAAATAATCATAATGAATTTAAAAATACAATCAAAATTCAGATTTTCATGGGCCTAGGTTTTTTGATCAGGTCAAGCCCAGGCCTGCAAAAAAATTTGTTTTGGGCCAATGTCTGACCTATAATTAATTATAAAAAAATTCTCATTGGTCCAAGCTCATAATAATTTTGAAAAATTTTCCCCAACCCAGCCCAATATAATTTATAAAAATATTTTTCAAGTCCAGCCCAACCCATAATAATTTTATAAAAAAAATTTCTCAAACCTGGCCAACCGATAGTAATTTTCAAAATTTTTTGTCACCTGGAGATAGTTAAATCTCTAAAAACCATATCTATTTTTTATTCTATTTTACTTCAGACAAAAGCCAACCCATTAAGTAAGACTAAGAGTGAATACTATTTTTTGAATAAAAATATATTTAAATTAGATTTTACCTGAGGGCCATATAAATATTCTTGTTAAATATTACACCTATGCCTAATATTAAAAAAATTCCCAAGCCAGGTCCTCGCGCTTGGTTTTCTCAAACCCACAAAAGACCATAATAATTTTGATAGTTGAGGACTGAAATAAATTATATGAAAAGTCACAATACATTTAAAAATACAATCAGAATATGAAAGTTGTATGGGCCTTGTCATGTCTTCAAAAGAAATTTTCAGGCTAATTTCTAGACCATATTTAAAATTAAAAAATTTACAGGAATCTTAGACTATAATAATTATGAAAAATGTTTCTCAAGCTATGTCCAAGTCCATATTAATGGTGAAAAATATTTCCCAAGCCCAGGAAAACCCAAATAATTTATTTTGATCCAGAAAAAATAGGTCTAATGTAAGGGGTTTATAAGAATTAAATCTGTCTAATTTCAAAATTATCATCAAATGAAGGGTAAATATCTGATTTACCTATGATTCTACTGGTGAGCTACTGGTATTTATATGAAATTCATGAATACATATTAAAGTACCATGCTGAAAATATGTTCATCCTAATTTAAATTTTAAAGAAGCCAAAAGATTTATTACTTAGTTACAAAATATAAAATTAAATTTAAGAAATTATTATTAAATTACAATAGAAAAAATAAAAAGATATGTCTAAGTTAACAAATAATAGGAGGTAAACTTCAATCATAGTCAAATTATATATAAGTAAAACAAAAAGGTTATATATTTAATCAAAAATGTTATAATAAGTTATGAATAACATACATTCTACAATTATGAAATTAGGCAAAATTTTAAAAATGTTAACTATTAATTTATTATGAAAGTTGCATGGGACATGGTTTTTTGATCAGGTCTGGCTATGTCTGCAAAAAAAAATTCATACCAATCTATAACCCATATTTAAAATTCAAAAATCTTAAAGCACCTCTATTTTAAATTTTATCCAATATGTTTTCCATCACATTTTTAATTTTTGATATTTCTAATACATGCTCACGGTATATATTGCAACAATTTTACCTATTTTTCTCTTAAATTTTAATATTTATACAAAATTTATTAATAAAGTATATTTACTACCATCACACAAACTAAATAATTACCCTTCAACCCCATCAGCAAAAATTTAATTATAATACGCCTTTGAAACTTTAATATATATATATAATAAATTTTTTATATTTATTTATATTAAAGTTGGTGCATGCGGTAAAGCATACACCTTTGAAACGGGAGGCTTGTGTTCGATTCTAATAGAGAGCAAAAAATTAACATTATAGTCTCCTTGAATTTAAAATACATTAGGGAGATACGAAAACTGGAGATAAAATTAACATTACACTATATAGTCTCCTTAAATTTAGAATCATTAGGGAGATACGAAAACGATCGTGTTATGATTATGGAGATTATATATATTAGATAAGTTTTAATATAATATATATATGTTTATTATATTACTCTTAATATTTTTTATTATATATATTTATTTAAATTATATGCTCATTCATATGAGATAAAATTTGCACTTGAATATTTTTTTTTCAAATAAAAAAAGTGTTAAATAAAAGTATAAGAAAATGTATCTTAAAAGTATCT